ACAATGAGCATTAATAAAAAACTAAAAACATATTTCAGTTAGTAAACCAGTATAACAAAAGTAAGAGTCGAGAAATTTAACACCTTCTCAATTGCAATTTTTCTTCTCGTATCTTTCCCTAGTTCAGCATCATCAATTATCCGCCGAATTTTCTTTTTTGATTTCTTCTTTGAGCTAAGAGAAAAAAACTCATGCACGTAAGAAAAATAACACAACAATACTAATTAAAATTAGTTGGAAACATGCAGGAGTTTATATCTAGTGAATATGTATGTAATAATACCTTATTGCTACATTGACATCAGCATCTGTATCAACAGAATTGTTATCAGAGCTGGAATCAGAGCTGGAATCAGAGCTGGACTCTGTTGACTTCTTATCTCCCATGGCTTTCTCCAGTTCCAGTGTCAGTCTTTGCAAGGGAATTGGACAGCAACAACAACAATCCCAACCAGAGGATTGAGCTTCAGACAAATATTCTTCACCAATATTCCTCCTTATACATGATGCACAGAAAAGTCTTTCGCATGACCTACAATTTATTAAGTCAGCAATGTGACCACACCATTCACAATGACGTTCCGAAGAGTCATCAACCTGTTGGTAAAAGTCAACATTTTGGTTAGAAAGAGGAAAGATATGGCAAGAATATTTGTCAGTCCGAGAACACATTTGGTAGTTTTTATTCATTTCAGAAAAGACAGTCCTCCATATAACATGATATTCAGCACGGTAAAGGATTATATTTTCTACCTATATTCTGACCCATACGCAAATACATCGTAAGTCACATAAAATTGGAAGAGGATACAACATACCTTAGCAACTCTATCCTCAATTGAACGTTTGCAATCCATGCAAACTATTACTTCTAAAAGCGGATGACTATGCACTTCCACAGCTACGTTATTACAGGCAGTACACCTAAAATTGCTTGCTGGATTATCTGAATCATCAATCATGGTATCTACATTTGACTCTGTGACGGGGACCATCTTATCTACATCTGAATTAGACAAATCCCCATTTTCCTCTTTGCTGAGTTCATTATCTTCAGCAAGATTTGGGGCAATAGAATTCCCATCCAAATATGCAGAATCATCATCCCTATTCTCTGCTGCACGCCTGATAGCCTGAAACAAAACCAAATGAAGACTGCTACGTGAGCCAAATGATTATTCCTTCAGACCAACAAAACCCCTGGCACCGCAAACCCCCAAATCTCGCTTTAACACAAGACAGAACCATCACTTGACAATCAAGTAACAAGGTCTAAAAGCTAAATAAGAGACAATCTTTCCCCTAAAATTGTATAGTCTTCAGTAAATCTTATCTTAGAATACATGAATCACCATTAATATTACAGAGACGAAAGTTTTAGCAATACACAAACTATATGTTACTATATTCCCCAGAACCAGCCTCACTAAGGATGTAAATGGCTGTACAATTACAGGAATAAAACTGGGTTGGATATAGCGCTCCTCTAGATTTTCATCATTTGTGATAAAAAAGTGTGGAAAAATAGTTCCACTCATCCCACTAAAAGCTGAAACCTGAAGAAATGTAAAAGAAAGTATTTTTCTACTATTTTGCAGGAGAATGAGTAGAATAAAATTAGTCCTCTATTTCCTTTATGCCATTCAACTATTTTCCATTCATATTTATTCAATTGATTCTTCTAGTGGTAACCATTTGCACCCTAAGAATGATATCTCCTAAAGAAAATAATAGGTGACACTCTATGCTACTTGTAACACCAAGACGTCTTCAATCAAATATATCTTACATTAACAGAAGTAACTGAAAGAATAGGTAAAACAAACCTGTTTAGATCTGTTCTTGCGTCTCTTCCGTTTCAAACGAAGTTGAAGTTCACGATCTATATTTATATCATCCTCTTCTTTGACCTGTTAGTGATGTAAATGTCATACTCAAGCTGTTCAATGGTAAGGCTGGAGTTGAGAGTAGTCCTAAATGGTATTATAAATCTAGAGTTCATTGCAAATTGTGCGAAAGCAAGAACAGAAGGAGCAGCCAGAAAAGGTAATACTTTCAAAAGTAGAATCCTTCACAAACTTATTAGAAGTTAAGTCCAAAGATAATACCCTTATATAATTTTTCTTTTGTTCTTCAGTAAGGGCAAGTTCTCTTTCATTTTCTATTGCATCGGCTAAAAAAGGGTCTGCCAAGCTTGCATCAATCTCATCGATTTCCTCCACCTGAAAAAAAAAATGTACAGTGATAGTCACTCTAGACTGCCAGAAGTTTTATTAAGTTGCCTTCAAACAGTAATATGGCGTGATCTATGATTATAAAAGCCCAATATTTAAAAATCTCCAACTATGTTAAACTAGCTTGAGAAGGAACAGAGGATCTCCATAACATTACTTCCCTCCAAAGGTTGTAAATAATGTCTTCTATCATCTAAAACAGCTATAACTAATGATAACCAAGTTAAAGCTCAAATTTTATTTATGCTTTTAATCCCCGAAAACTTGGCTTAATGTTTTTTATCCTAATGAAAACCTACATTGCAGAGTGAGTTATGTTTTCTTATCCTGATCATGGCATCACAATGGACCATAAATTTAGTGACTTCAAGCAGAAGCTAAAAAGGAAAACCAGGCCTGCTTTTATAAGAGGTATTATAGCAATTAAGTCGTCCTAGTAAAATCGACAAGAAAGGAGATGTCATTTTAATGATTTTTCTCTTGGATTGAAGAAACTTCAACAGATGAAACATACGCAAACCATCATCAGCATCAGGGCAATCAGGAAAAATATAGGCGTAAATGAAATTTTAACCTCATTTACTCCTGGAAATTCTAATCCCATGGCTGCAGCTTGTTGTGGAGTGCTTGCCAAGTAAACAGAAGCCCAATGCTTACTACTGAAGGAAATAGCATCGTCTCTTTTTTCCGAAAAAACTTTGTTGAGAGACGACCAGTCAAGCTCAGATGTTCCAGCTAGACACTCTTTAACAGCATCATCAGCAAGCTTTTTCTCCAGAAACCCACTAGCTCCCTCCTCCAAAAGTTTTCCATGTCGTCTACACCAGAGAATGTATAGATATATCATCCATGACACTCAAGAGAAATTGCACTAATTAAAATTTGAAGATCATAAAACCCTACTTTCGGACAGGCCGGTGAGTATGAAGAAACTTCTCTGCGTTAGCCAATGATTCCACAGTTTCTTTTGTCGCCTGAGTCCCAACCCAGTGGGCCCTTTGTTTCCAAGCTTCAGTGTAACAACCATCAGGGGCTTGACTTTCGATCATTTCGTACAATTTTGGAAGCTCGATTCCAGCACCATCAAGTTGCTCCTTTAAGAAAGAAACAAAAGGAGAAAGAAATTTTTAAGTTCTTTTTGAAAGAAAAACAAACCATTGGATTAAATTCTGTGTAAAATAGAGGAAGCCACAACGAAACGTACCAACAAGTTTGCACTTTCGGTTTCAAGCTCATCAAGTGTTGCCTCCCATTCGTCTTTAAAAGTCATCATTTCAGCTGCCACAGCTTTATCCAGCTAAAACAGGCAAACTCTAAGATGTTTAATGGGCAAAAAGAAAGGAAGTCGGAGCTTTGATAGTGAGAAAAAGAAAATAACCTCATCGCCATGGAGTGTTTGGGCTAATTCCACCCTAACTTCACTCTCTACTCTAGAAAGAGACTCTTTTTCAAGTGCTTCTTGAGCTTCTGCAGCCTAGAGATCAATGCGGAAACATAGAGAGTGAAAATTAGAACTGAAAGTTAAATTGGCCAATCAGGATCTCCATTGAACAAAAAGAAGAGATTTAAATACCTTACTCTCTACTCCCAACAGATCTGAAATTAACTCTTCTATTTCTTCCTCGCTCAGAGGTTTCTGCATAATAATTGTTAAAAGTTATATTAGATAAACATAGGCTCTTGACCAAAAAGAGATAAACATACGCTTTATCTTCGTCATGCTGCCACTTAAAAAAAATGACCAAGAGATATCCAAGTTGCGTACCTCAAGATCCAACTCATCATCATCTCCCGACAGCAATTGCTCATCTTCATCCGAAATAGAAACAGAACTTTCAGATCTACTATCAGCATCTTGCATCTCCTCGTCTTTTTGCTCATCTTGATTGTTGTTTTCTTCCATTTGTTCGTCATTCTGCTCGCCTCTTTCATCTCTTGTTTCCACCTTTCCAAGCTTTGCCTCTATCCCCTCCTGTTCTGCCTCCATTCTGTCTTCTTTTATATCCATCTCTTCTACTTTTGCCTCCACTGTATCCTCCTTTTCTTCTAGCTTTTCACCTTTTTCCTTCACTTTTTCCTCCATGTCTAGGAGTTTCCCTTCACTTCCTACTGAATAAGCGTTATTAATTAAAACATTGAGCATACCTCCTGAGACTTATCATCTACTTACTAACAATGCACCCACCCATAAGTATAAAAATTTGTTCCGCGGTGTACAACAAAAATTCCAGCATTACCACACCTAAACCGAAATCGAGGGCAAGGTATC